AATTTGGGATTCTTGCCTTGCTCTTGCGAGGCAGTTGGCGACCACTGAGCCAAATCTCTGGCCCTTAAAGTCAATTTCAATAGATTAAAAAATCCATTTGTTTTCACATCACCTGAAACCTTAGCCCTTTGTATATCTGAGTCCTTATACAGTCCTTGTCCATAAAACTCAACAATTCTGTGAGAAGAAAACAGAATAAGCATTGTGATTTAGTCTGTAAGATGAATGTTTATTTATATCAACAGATGTGCTTATATATCCATTTTTCCACATTTCCATTTATTTCTCTGTGCACCCCTCCAATTTAAAAAAACCATCCTCTTACAAAACCCAATATTTTTCCATGGCTTATTTCTAGAAATTTTACACCTCTCAGTAGGACAGATCCTTCTATTCTCCCTCCTCACTCCTGTGCCTCCAACTACTCCAGGAGTTTTGTCCCCACTTAGTGACAGAGGCCAAGATTGGGAAGCTGACTGTAGACCCTCAGCATAAAATCTTGGTTTTGTTATTTATTATTTGCCCTGCGTCTTTCAGCTCAGTTTCCTTGTCTGTAAAATGATGGCAGTAATATAGTGGGATGGAGTGCTCTGAGGCACAAGTGAAATAAAGGATTTGTATTACACAAATTTGTATTTGTATTTGGAAACTTGGAAGCAGGGGGACCGTGTCCCTTTCCTAGGGCTGCTATAATAATTTTCACAAACCGGGTGTCTTAAAGTAACATCATTAATTTATTCTCTCGCGCAGTCCAGGAAACCAGAAGTCTAAAATCAAGGAGTTGGCAAGACTGATTCCTTCTCGAAGTGCTGGGGTGAGACACGTTGGGATCTACCTCGAAGCTGCCAATGGTGGGAGCCAATTTTGCTTGGCTCGTGGCACCGTCATTGCAGTCCCTGCCTCTGCTCCTTCCTGGCCTTCCAGCTGCGCAGGTCCCTGCGTCCTGCCTCCTCACAGGGGCACCAGTCTCCAGACTTAGGGCCCATCCGAATCCTCTCAGCTAACCCATTACCCCCTCAAAGACTGACCCAGGCAGGTTGCATTCTGAGGCTCTGGGTGGACATGGATCTTTGGAGGACACTATTCAGCCCACAGCATTGTGAAAGTGGGAGAGAGGGTGGCCTCCCGCTGCTGTGCTGTCCTGGCCAAGTCTTGCAGAGTATCAGGGGACCTCAGAATGTCCCCAAGGCTTTTTCTGGAAGAAGCACACTTTCTCTTACCTTTCCCTTCTCCGTGTGTAATGCAGCCTAAGGCAACTCATGTGCTCTGCCTGTCTCTCATTTTCTCCTCTGTGAAGCGGGAGTGAACCAGTTAGCCAAGAAGTACTGATTAGCCCTGTATCTCCACATTACCCCACAACACAGCCTCCTACCGTAACAACTAATCACACTCAGGATTGCTAGCAGATGCAGAGAGGTCCCCCGTGATTTTGGAGCTCTCCACTCACGCACTCTCAATTCTCAGCCGACCTCATGAATCCACACTGCTGTAGAAAAGGAAAATACACTCTTAGAAACAACCAGGCCGCTGCAGGAGAGAGGATGCCATTACCAGACCAGGGCCTCCAAAGGGGTGTCTGTCTCTCCAGGCTTTGCACTTTTTTCTCCCTGGCTGTCCACAGAAGGAAAGCAGGGAGACGGGAGAAAAGCAGCAGCTTTGTTTGCTCAGTGACAGGAACAGATTTCATGGTGGTTTGGTGGGGCTGTTTCCCTGGCTCCCAGAAGATCTCACACGGTCCGTTTCCACCACTTGGCAAGAGCATTTGTTCTCGGGGAGCAAGCAGGTCTCATCGTTGCTACGAAATAAAACCACAGACCAAGCTGTTGAGTCTTGCGTTCATGTCGTTTTGCATCCTTTTTAAATCCACAGGAGGAGAGGCTCTGCACCTCGTCCACTTACCTGCCACCAGCAACGTGGCAGAGAATTCTCACCCTGGGACTCTGGTGCACAAGTTTTCTGTGAATTTATCAGTGTCGTTGTCACCCGTGGTCCCAGGATTTCCCCTGATAATCAACTCGAGTCCCCTCACAGAAGCCTTCAGGGTGAACAGGCTGTCAGGCACTGACTTTGAGGTAAGCAGCCCCTCACGGGAGACGTTTGCAAAAGGGTGTCCTGCGGATTTGTGCCTGGGGTTCCAGGTCAGGGATCCTGTCCTCCTCTTTGCCCGGTCCAATCTCTCCTCTCATAGGACCCAGAAGTCCCGGTTGGGAGATCCCAGCCAGGGCCCCCGTGCTGATCCTCCTGTAGACCTTATTTTTAATATTTTGTATTATACATGTTTGCAGTGGATAAGGATCACACGGACATAACACATCTTAATTCTTCCTTCGTCCCTACCCTCCCTTCTCACTCCCCCCTGCTCCTTCCAGCTCTTGCTCCCCTGCCCATTTGAAAAAGATCTCCCTACGTCTTCCTTTCCTCACCGCTGAGACGCAACACCAACACCTGCACATGGAAGGAAAAGCAGTTTATTTTGGCTCACAGATTTTGGAAGTCTCAGCCCACAGTTGGCTGACTCCAAGGCAGGCGGAATGGCAGAGGGAGAACTAGCGCGTGGTGAGATGGCCGGAAGTGGGGAGGGATCGAAGGGGCAGGAGGGAGGTAGACCCTTCCAGGCCACGCCCCAGTACCCAGCCTCCTCCCACCAGTTCAACTCCCCACATCACATTCAACTGTAATCTTATCACGGACTGATCACTGCTGAGTGTCACACCCCAGGGATCCAGTCCCCTCCCCACGCCCCACCTACGAGGGCCTGAAGGGTGGGAACATTTAGATATAAACCATAACACCCTCCTTCCTATTGTCTATTTTTTATTTTGCTCTTCATTTATATTTTGGGTTTTTCTTGTAAGACAAACTATATGACCTCAGAGTCTAAAATTCAGGCCTCTCTCTGCTTAATACAGGCCCTGTGAACATTACGCTCACTATGTTACAGAGGGAAGGCCTGTGTCTTATTGCTAACAGCCCAGATGTGATATCAAGCATTAGGTGTGCTTACGTTAATCAAATTCTTTGTGTGGGAGAATGTGGGTATTGATCTCCTTGAAAACCAGGCCCTGATGAACTAGTGTCCACTGATTCTGCCTTTCTATGAGTCTATAATTGTTTTTAGAAGGAAATCGACGCTGAGTCTTACTTACTCCGTAAATATATACCCTTTAATAAAATATGCTAAATGTCCATCTCTACTGTGCAAATGTTTCCTCTTGGATGATTCAGACCCGGTAACTCACATTCCAGACCCTTGCTTCCTATTTTGTCCTCTGTGTCTCTGTGTCTTTTCCAAAGCTGTCACTTCCCCGTTGCGGGGGTCAACCTACTCATTGCACGTTTTTCACAGGTAACCTCAGAGGTCGTCCAATTATGTCTTTAGGGTCCAGGTGTCTGGAGTTGCTTATGCTTTGGTGTCCTCAAGTCTTCCTTTGTCCTTCCTCACCTTCCTAGCAACCTCTTGCTAGGCCTCTTCAGCCCGGCTGTTGGTCCCTGGAGTCCTGGGGGACCTGGTTGCTCCCTGGGGATACACACTAGATGTTCTTGAACCCAGCTCTGGCTCAGAGTCACTTGGGGAGCCTCTCAGAAGTGAGCATACCCGGCCCCCTGGCAGAACCTCTGAAATTGAGGCCAGTGCCTTCCTGTGTGGGTTCTGGTCACTCCTGGGCTGGGCCCTCCGAATGCAAGGACTCACAGTTCCTCAGCCTTCACTTCTGCATCTGGTCGACATTGCCAGGCCCCAGATGCTGGTCCCGAGACTCAGCTGCCAGGACTGCTGGCTCCTTTGACCTGGCTTGTCTCAACAGCTGCTGCCCTCTGTTTCTACTGGTCTTGCCAGTTACTCGCTCTTATAGAGTGGTGTCCTGTACAGGCTGGACACTGTGGGACGTGCCTTATGTGTGTCTGCTCCTCAAGATAGCCCAGTGACTGGATCTGTAACAGTGCCCCCTTTCATAGGTCAGGACGGTGAAGCCCAGAGTTGAGGTAATTTGTCCTCAGTTGCACAGTCAGGGGCTGGCTGTACTGAGACTGGAAATCAGGCAGTCAGGATCCAGACTCTTATTATTTTAGGCAGCCTTATTGAGATATAATTTACATAGCATATTATCTACCCATTTAAATTATAGAATTCAGTGGGGGTTTTTTCAGTATTCTTGGAGTTGTGCAACTATCAAACTATATTGCAATTTAATAGATTTTCACTACCCCAACATGAAATAATGTCCTCTTGGCGCTCTTTATTCTTCTATCCTCAGAGTCCCTGGCAACCACTAATCTACCTTCCGTCTGTGAATTCGCCATAGTATGAGATATTTGATGACTGGCTTCTTTCTTTTAGTGTAAAGTGTCAAGGGTCAGCCATATTACAGCAGGTGTCAGCATTTTTCTCCTTTTTAATGGCTGAGTAATATTCCAGTATATAAGTATAGACCATGTTTTGTGTATCGAATCATCATCACCTGACAGACGTGTGGGCTGTTTTCACTTGAAATCTCTGTCTTGGCTTCTGTGGGCTCCTGCTTTTAACGATGATGATAATTCTGCTCCTTTACATTTGCATGGAAGATCCAAAGCACATTCACATTCCTGACATCTTGACTGTTATAGTGAACACAGATATTACCGGTATTTAAAAAAAAATTTTTTTTGTACCAGGGATCAAACTCGGGTCTTTGCATTTGCAAGGCAAGCGGTAGAACCACTGAGCTAAATCCCCAGCCCTAAAAATTTTTAATTCTTACCTTAGGTATATGATAACTCAGAGAGAATAGGACTACGTGATTTGTCCAAGATCACATAAATGTCCATAAATGGATATTTGTCCGTAAATGGTGAGATAAGACCCAGGTCTTCTGGTTCCCATGCTGGGCCCTTTGTCCTACATTTCCATGCAGATGGATTGGTGTTTTAGTGAATTTCCAACTCCTTCACGGGACCTGCTCTTTCTAGTTGTAATCCAAATATACAGTGAATATTAAATTTTTACATTTTAGCACAGTAAAGCACACAGTACCATTAACTGCTCTCAAAATGCTCATCCTTCACCTCAAACACACTTATCCCACTGTTCTTGCCACTTTCGGGAGCAGCTCTGGAGTCCTCTTCTGTGAGTGTCTTTATGCAGTATGATCAAATTTAGTGAGTGCACCATCAAGTGCCGTAGAATGGAAAGGAGGGCTTGTGAAAACACCAGAGCGTCCTCACCCGCCTTTTCACCGGATCTGGTGCCATGCAACTCCTGGCTCTTTCCAAAGTCAAAGTGACAGCGGAAGGTAAAAGTCTGAAGGACATCGGGGCGGCACGAACCCTAGCCCTAACCCCACCCCACCCCAAACCCAAACTTTAACCCTAATCCTAACCCTGTTCCTCACCTCTTGAAATGGTGAATTTCTTAGCCCCCCAGAGAAACTCGGCTCCAGCATCTGTTATATTTTCCCAGTCCTGTGCCCGCTGGCACCATGGCTTGTGGCTGCCCAGGGAGGGGAATTGGTAGGAGGATGACCACAGGCTCACAAGTCCTGACACTGGAGTTGAGAAATGGTGGCCTCGCCCCACATCATCAGCTGTCAAGAGCCACTGCCTGCTGCCCTCAGAACATGGCAACGCCATCTTGGGGCAGAACCTGGCTCCCCCTCTGGCAGTCTTGGTCCTTGGGCCTCAAGACTCAGGGAGCTCTGAATCATGCTGGAGCCGGTCCTCCCTGCTTCAGGACACCCTGCTGAGACTGCTGGGGAGGGAGGCGGGACGAGGAGGATAGAAACTCACACTTAGGAGCATTCACTGTATGCCACACACCACCATAAATGTTTTGTGGCTTCATTCATTTAATCTTTACAGAGCTATAGAGTAACTTGTTGTTTTATTTGCATGGTAAAGGTGGGGAGATCAGGGTACAGAGAGGTTGAGAATGAGCTCAAGTGCACAGGCGAGGAAGCTGACCCCAGGGGTCCTTGTTCCTGGCCCCCAGCCGAGCTGTCATTCAGCAGTAGGAGGCCAGTCCTGGAATGGCACCAAGAAGGACAGCTCTGAGAAGCCAGGGAGGGTGACTACAGCCACCTCCTCGCCTGGCAGCTGCAAAAGCAGGAGCTCTCCAAGGTCCTGTGAAGAACAGCGCCTGTCCCTTGCCTCTCCCCACCTTGGAGTCCTCACTCCCCTCTTTTTCCTGTTTATTGTCCTGAGCACAGAGGACCTAAAACTTTGCTCAGCCCACCCCAGGATGACTCCAAGCTCAACAGCCCTAAAGCCAAGCGCACTGTGTGCACCAAACTGAGCTGTCCCTTCCCTTCTCTGTCCTAGTCTCCTTAAATGTGGAAAGGGTGGGAGGTGTTCACCAGCCTGTGGTTGCTGTGATCGTTAAATGAAATCCTCCACCGAAGGGCACGGCAAGAGGCTAGCATGTAAACACTTGATACATGCGGCTGACAATGATGCAGCCAATTTTCCCATTTATGCTGATGGCGTGACAGTTCTTTTGGTTCCAAGGTATAACATGTTTAGGTCTTTTGGGGGACAGGCTCAACTCTTCACCTCCTCTGGAGGGGCGGGGGTGGAGCTGGTTCCCAAGGAGAAGGGGCTGGAGATAGATGACATTTGGGGAAAGGATCTGTCCAAGCTTGGGGTGCAGAAGAGAACATCAAGATCAGCAGGGAGTGAGGGTAGAAACCAGGGTCCAGACTCAACTATCTCTCCAGGGGCCCGTGCTAGAGACAGGTATTCTCTGAACAATTTTTGTAGCCTAATTCTGATGAAAGTCAGCATTTGCAAAGTACTTGCTCAGTGCCAGACCTTGGATTCCTGTGGATCAGCTCATTCATTCCTCAGAACAAGCCAGGAAAGTGTCAATTTTATCACTGTTTTACAAATGGGGAAACCGAGGCACAGAACATTTATGTCATGGGAAGGCTGAGTGTTGAAGTCAGTCAGTCTGGCTCCAGAGTCTGTTCATAAGTGACTGACAGGTGTGTCTAAGCCCATATAGGCACCAGTCCAACCACCTCTATTTCTCTCAAGCTTCCTTTTCTCCCTCCTCCTCCCCTGCATGCTCTTCCTCATAACTGTGGCTGCTTTCTCTTCTTTAACCAGTCCCGGCTGTGCCACCTCCTCCATGCAGCCTTCTCTGACTGCGCACTGCTCACAGTGACCCGCTTCTCCCATCTCCCGGAGCTGCGGCCCAGCTCTTTGTTATAAATCTTGTCTGAGGTTCAGCTGTTTAACCGCAGCAGGACTCAGTTCCCTAATTATAATCTCATGGAATCAAAGTCAGTGGATGGTGAAGGGATTTTCTCAAGGCCACACAGAGGTGCCATGGTAGAAACAGGGCTGCTCCCTCAGGCTGCAGAGGGTCTTGTCACCTGCGCCAGGCGGGTAGGTGACCCAAAGCTGTTAGGGCATATCAAGGGCACCTAGGAAATTTACTCTTGAGTCCGCCTTGACTAGTGTCCACTACCTCACACTGGCGATTTATGAAGGACAGAATTCATTGTCCTCACTGCAGAGGCCGGGAAATCCCACATCAAGGTGCTGGCATCGGTGGTCTAAGATACAGTGAGAGAGCCTTGGTGACAGCAAGCAGGCAGGAAGAGAAGAGCCTGGGAAGCCATTCTCGCAATAAGGACCCGAATCCGCTCGTCGGAGAGCAGAGCCCTGAAGGCCCACCCCCTACTCCCCATAATACAGCGGCAGTTAGACTTCAACCTGAGTGTTTGGGGAGATATTCAAGCCAGAGCAGTGTCCCTGAGGGCTCTGGACCACCACCGATTCCAGGCGATCAGCTGGTGGCCGATGCATCCCTCTGTCCGAAGTGAGAGGGGTGATGGGCTGGCTTCCCCAGGGACCCTTTGCACCGCAGCCTGGATCCTGGTGCTGTCCCACTGGCCCTGGCACTTGCTATCCAGAATGCAGAAAGCAGGGACCAAAGTTCGTGACAAGGAAGAATGCTTGGAAGGCACACAGAACACAAGCACTCTGTTGTTTAACTGTTTCTTGTTTACGCATCTGTGTCCTTCTCTCTTGTTTATTCTTGGGTGGGACCTTAGGAAAATTAGAGGGATGAGTACAGCTATAAGGAGCTATAATAATCCAGGGAAGTGCACCTCCTTTAATGGTAGGAAAACTGGGGGAGCTGAGGGGTTGTGAAGGGGCCACCCCCAAACCACAGCAGGGTCCCTAGTCCCCACTCCCCGGGCCTCCAACTCTGTCATTCACACAGGATGTGTTCCGAATATTTTTCTTTCCATGAAGAGCAGCAGTGTACACAGGGGCCCTTTTGGGGAAGTGTCCTGGGGCTGCTGAGGGAAGCAGTAAGGCAAAACAGCACGGGGGGCGGCTGGGGCTGCCAGCAAGTAAGAAGTGGTCTGGGGAGGCCGGCTGCTTCCTTCCTAGGATTAACCCTTTCTGCACCATGAGATCCTACAAAACACACCTTCTCTCACCTGGTCACTAAGAGTTTTGCATTTCATTTTAGGTTGTCACCTTTGGGAAGCAACCACTGGATTTTGAAACAGGACCAAACGTATTTGATTTGCAGATTTATGTTAAAGATGAGGTGGGGGTCACCGACCTGCAGGTCCTGACTGTTCAGGTGACAGACGTGAATGAGCCACCTGAGTTCCAAGGCAACTTGGCGGACGGTAAGATACACCAGCCTGTGCAAAGCAGCACAGACGGCAGCATCAGGGAGGACCTGAGGAACAGAGAAAAACAGGAAAAGCAAACACGTACGCAGCTGTTTCCTTGGAAGAGGCAGCTGCTTAATGAGCAGGAATAAATGAACCACCCTCCAGCTCAGCACGCCTCATGACAATGTCCAGGGTGCGCACGGCCACCACACCCTCGGCCTCTCCTGTCCCCCCCAGGGCCTAGTGAGGAACCTGAGGTTCAGGGCTCGCCCATGGTGTCCTCGGCCACTGGCAGACTCACTCTTTCTCCCAGTGGACAGAGTAGGGACAGCAGAAGCCTCTGGCGCCTAGGGGACTCCTGACTTTGTGCCCCCCTCTCCTCCCATGCTGCCAACCCCAAGGCAGCTTCTCCACGCAGACGTCCTGTTTTAGCTCTGTCTGCCTGAGTGCCGGTGGCTCCCACTGCACCCCCACTTACTCTAGTCCCCGCCCCAGGTCTTTCCCATCCTTCCTGGGCTTGGGCCAGCACCATCACCCAACCGCGCACCCCCATCCCCGACAGCAAATCCACCCGGAATCTTGCCAACTTCTACACACATCCGAAATCCTGCCTGGCCCTAGCTCTCCTACGCGCCACCCCCCTCCCCTGCCCCACGCAAGGCACCCAAACATCCTGTCTCTCTGGGACGACGGGGGCCCCTGCCTGTGGCCTTTCCCCCTGCAGCCTGTGCTGCAGACAGCAGCCAGGAGGTCCCTGACCCCTCGCCCCTCTGCCTGCCCTCCTGGGGATGGGGGCTGGTGTGCACCCTCAGAATCCGTGTCTTTGCTGCTTCCTTGCTCCTCCCTGTCCTCGTCCCTTCGGGCACCCTGATTCCCGTGTGGCCACCTCTTGGGCTGCCATAGCTGTTCTATTTGAAATTGCAGCACTAGTGATACCCCTCTTCTGATTTTCTCTGGTCTCTTGGTGTCTCTGTCTGTCTGTCTCTGTCTCTGTCTCTGTCTGTCTCTCTCTCTCTCTCTCTATCTCAGTACTAGGGACTGAACTCAGGACCTTCACACTGAGCTACATATCCAGCCCCTCACCCTTTGAGTATTTTGACACAAGGACTTGCTAAGTCACTGTTTCCAGGCTGAGCTTGAGAAACTTGCGATCTTCCTGCCTCAGCCTCCCGGGGTCCTGGGGTTGCAGGTGTATGCCAGCATGCCTGCCTTCATAGCTTCTCTCCTTTCCCTCAGACATCAGTCACCTCTCCACAGAGGAAGTAAATGAAGAGTTGGCGCCATAGCATTTTGTTTTTTCTTTTCCTGGTACCTGAGATCAAACTCAGGACCTTGCGCTTTCCAGGTAGGCGTAGTGCCACTGAGCTAAATCCTCTGCCCCATAGCACTGTATTAATTCCCACAAGTGGATCCACTCACATGCACTGGCTAGTGGTGTTCCCCGTGGCCTTGACCGTGGCTTCCCTGCGTCCTCCTGGTTCCTTTTGTTTACACAGTAGCTGCGATGTTGGAGTTCTGAGTTTGCTTCATCTAGTAAAGTAATCCTTTCTCTACTTTGGACGAGGTACAGGTTTAGACCTCTTCATATCAGAAAGAACAAACCCAGGATTCATTTACCAGGTCGAGGCCTTCGATCCAGAGGACTCGAGACGCCCAGCTCCCCTCGGTGTAAGTGTCCCCAGCTGGACGGGCGGGTGTGGCAGGCGTAGTGGGAGATGTGTTGCCTTTTGGCAGAGCCAGAGCTCAGGGTTGCTGGGAGCCAGCATGGGAGCTGGAGACAAACACCAGCCCGTGCTGCAGACTCTGGGTGATCTCAGACAAGCTCCGGACCCCCAGTTCTTCATGAGTGTCGTAGGAAGAACAAGAGCGCTGACTTGTCCGAGGGTGGGTGTGTGCTTTAGATGACGTAGACATCGGTGCCAGGTGGATAGCAGGTGCTCCAGATTCGTGAACTCTAGGTCAACACGAATTCACCTGTGCTATTTTAGTATCACTTTGGATTTTTGAGACAGAGTCTAGCTATGTAGTTCAGGCTGGCCTTGAACTCGTGATGTGGCCCAGGCTGGCCCCGAATTCGCAATGATCCCCCTGCCTCAGCCTCCTAAGTGCTGGGATTACTGCTGTGTGTCACAATACCTGGTTGCCACCATTTTAAAAGTAAGCATAAAATACACACCTAAAGCCAGGCACTCACGTATACCCTTCAAGAGATGAGGCCAAACTGCTTGGATCCACGTTGTTAAATATGTATTTTAAGAGTCCCAGGAATCCTCGGTGTTGAACAGAAGACCGGGTCTGGTGCAGTCTGAGAGAGTGGGTGCCTCTTCTCTCCTTTATGAGTCAGTGTCCTTTATGAGGCCGCCAGGGGGCGCTGGTAAGCAGGAACCTTGGGCGCATTCCTCCAGCTGGTTCTCCGCTCAGGTGCCTGAGCTCTGCCCACTTGGGTGCCCAGCGCCCACACTGCAGCTCAGGTTGGGGAGGAAAAACAAAGTGAATTCCACCGAGCTCACCTTGGAGCATCTGGCACTCCTGCCCACGGGGCCTGACGAGCACGGCCTGCGTGAGCTATGGCCCCGGGGAGCTGCTGACACAGGGGGCTGCTTCTGCCCTCTGCTTCGTAACCTGCAGGCTCAGCCCGGCCACTTGCTAATGGAGGGAGGCAGCCTTGGGAATGGACTCCAGGACAAACTGGGTGTCCACGAGTCTGAGACAGCTGTTATCAGACTACTGGATACATCTTAAAGTTGGGGGATGATCTGGTTTTACTCATTCATTTATCCAACATAAATGTTTAGGTCAACATTTGCAAATGCACACGCAAATACCTAATGGGTTCCCACTTGCAGCAGGAGGTGCTGTGCACAGATTCTCACTATTATACTAGTTATGTCGTGGGGATGTTTGTCGGCACATAAGAGAAAGCCTAATTGCATCGGTAGATAGATACAGGATTTTTTTTCTCTTCCATACAAGAAATCTAGAGGCAGGCAGGTGATCTGGGGCTGTGCCACTGCTGTCATCAGGAGCTTGGCTCTGTTTCTGTCCCTCCATCTACAGCATGTGCACCTGCTTTCTCCCCATTTTCTCACCTCATGATTGCAAGATGGCTGCTGCATCTCTGGGCCTTGCCTGTGAATTCTGTACAGGAAAAGTAAAGAAAGAAGCAGGATGGGGTACAAGGTGAAGGGAGCAGACCCGCCTAGTCTGCTCCTCCTTTTTCTAGCAGGAAAACAAAGTCTACTTGAAGCCCTGCCCAGAGGACTTCTGCTACTCATGGGCCAGAACTGTGTCCTCGGCCACCACTGGTTGGTGGTGACAGAGGAAAAGATTCTAGATGGATATCAGGTCAGCATAGTATCACATTACTGATTTAGTTCATTTCATGATTACCACAAACTTTTAAGCGCAGCTCAGCGTGATACAGTAATTGCTGAGAAGATTCTTACAAGATGCAACAGGGGACAAATAGAAGGAATCTTAGTTGTGAAGACAAAAATTTATTTTAAGTCTGTATTTTAATACATTCTCCAAATCATGCAGGTGCATAAGGGGCCCCTTTTAGAAACACCTCGCAGGCCGTCTGTACCCCTCAGAGAGGAGGGGAAGGGATCCAGTGGATCCAGTAGGGATTGCTTCCTTTAAAACTGCAGCACCACCCTCAGGGCCTGAGGCCAGCTCTGAGGCTTGGAGGTGGCTGGTGCAGTGGCTTCAGCCATCAGTCAGGGGTCTTGTGTGGGGAGCAGCACGGAGTTGTGGCACAAAGTGTGAACGGAGCAACGAACACCTGTGCTAAGCCACAGCCAGCCTACAGGAGGAGCCAGTGCAAGGGGAAGGCTCCTTTCTTGGCCTAGAAAAAGTAATAACAGCCCAGGGCATCACACATTTGGCCTTTGTCCTTAGATGCTTTATTGTGGGCACCTGGGGCTCTACATGACGGTTCACGCTGTAACAGTAGAAGGGAGATGGGTTAATTCACTATTGACCAAAGCTGTGCTTCCCGACCTTGCTGTAAATGTACCTCTCCCTGGAACGTGGAGAGCGCACAGGTGTCTCCCCTGATGTGGCTGGCCTGGGTGTGGCCTGGCCTCCGGAGCACGAAGCTTCCAGATCCACTGCGAAGCCAGGACCCAGAAGCGCTGCTGTAAGACACTGTCCCCCAGACTCCCCAAAGCCTACCTTGGAGCTTGGGTTCTGTGGGCCGGGCTGAGGGTGGGAATCTGCAGGGTTGTGGTGAGCAGGCTAGGAAGGTGTCTGGTGTCTTCAAGTGTATGTCCAGGCTTGGACACAAACCCAGGCCGCTTCACAAGGGCAGGTCTGCCCTGCTGGAGACAGCGCTCAGTGAGACCGTGAGCTTGCGCCTGCACCACACTTCAGAACCTTGAGAAAAAAAAGGCAGAGCGGGCTCCAAGTCCACCAGGCATGCGCCGAGGGGTCTGTACCTGCCATCTTACCTGGTGGGCTCCCCGAGCTACCTTACTGATGGCAGCAAATACAGATGAACTTTAAAAATTGGAGCCGAGGTAGGAGGATTATAATCTTGAAGCCAGCCTGGGCAATTTAGCAAGACCCTTTGTCAAAATTGTAAAATACAACTGGCTCAGTTTAAGGCCCTGGGTTCAGGCTCTAGTACAGGAAAACAAAGCAAGGGCTCTAGGACCCATCCTGAAACCCCAATACCTTTAACAAACATTACAACTCTCATCCAGGTCCATGAGGTAAAATGGTGTCCCAGATGATATAAATAGGGTATATTCTGAAACCACTAGTATTTGTTCTCTTAAAAGAAATTTAACAGCATGTGCTGAGCCAGGTGTGGAGGCACATGCCAGAAATCCCAGCACTCAGGAGGCTGCAAAGCCAGCCTGAACTGCATAGTGAGACCCGGTCTCAAAAACAAACCAGGGCCGGGGATTTAGCTCAGTGGCACCTTGTCTGCCTTGTGCAAGGTCCTGAGTTTGATCCCCAGTACCAAAAAACAAAACAAAACAAAAGCATGCTTATCTATGCTTTGGACCCGTAGTGTTCTGTCTTGAATCAGCACTGTCCAATAGTTATCGTGTGAGCCGGAAACCAGTGCTGCAGATGTAGTTTCAAAGGCAGGCAGCCATATTAAAAGTATGTGAAGTCAGTCTTTGCATTGTTCACATACCCAGTGAATTCTCATTCTAACACGTCATCAGGATAGAAAGGATTACTGAGAGCTTCCACATTCTTTTTCAATGTGCCATCTTAAAATATGGGGAGCATTTTGCACTTACACTTTCAGGCCTCCATGGTTCAAATGCTCAGGAGCCACAGACATGAGCCTGGGGGCTGGTGTGGGGGGCCCAGGCTTCGATGGAGCATTTGTCCTCCTCCCTAGGCACCGTCTGCACCCCAGGATGCAGGTAGAGCCGGGCAAGGGCTGGGCACATACAGCAGAGAAGGTGACCTGCCTGTGCACGGTCGCGTTTCCTGGCAGTTCCTCTCTCTGGGCACCCTCAGCCCAGCCCCTTCTCCGAGGAGGCTCCCTCCCCATTGCTTTTGGGCAGAGACTCCTTCAAAGCTGCATTAAGGGGCTTTCTCAGCCCTTCCTTAGGGGACGGGTTTTTGCATAAAACGAAGTGTGTGCTGTCTTCGCTGGACAAAAGGGCTAAATTAAAAGAGAGTTGCCGGCCTCCTGGCAGGGCAACAGAGCAAATCTCTGTCCACTTCCACCTTGGCTCTGAGACAGGACAGCCAGTCACGCCTTTTGGTCTTCCCGGAAGTAACGTGACTGACCTAGGAGATGGGCTTGAAAAACAGTGACGATTTAAATTTAAAGAAACATCACCACCAAAGACACACTGCCACGAATCTCCCCCAAAATACTCCCCTCGCTTTGGACACACCTATCCCATCGTTCTAGCTACTTTCTGAAGAAGTTCTGCAAATCATTTTTTTTGGGTGGGTTTTTTTTTTTTTTTTTTTTTTTTTTTTT